ACTATAGTGATATACGTGCACCCATGTTCATAGCAGCACAATTTGTAATAGCTAAACCTTGGAAACAACCAAGATGCCCATTAACCACAGAGTGGATGAAAAAGATGTATTTTTATACAATGAAATATTACTCAGCTATTAAAAAGGATGGTCTTGAGACCTTCATAGGCAAATGGAGACAGCTTGAGACTATCCTCATTAGTGAAGTAAATAAGAATCATATTTATAAATATCACGTGTCTTTAGTGTAAAAAATAAGAAGAAATGTAGGAGTAATAAAACCCAAAATGTGTAATTGCTATTGTAAAAAAGAGCGGAAAAGAAAGTGCTCTAAAGAATATAACTGCATGCATGTTTAAGTGTATAGGATGGATAACCATATTACTGAGTTTTTGTTGGACAGTTGAACAGAACTGTTTGCAATCTTGCTGTTTGAATGTCTACTTTGTATGTCTCACTTTTGTAACTTGAACAACTATTTGTAAGAATACAATATGTAATTATCAACTGGTGATTTCTTACTGTTTATCTTTTTTTGAAATTATGTATTATTTCTACTGTTTTTCTGGGTTTTTTTCTTTAAATAAAAAAAAATAGAAAACCAGTATTTAAAGTATTCATTTGCACTTCTTGTCAAGTTTTACTCTTGAGGCAAGGCAAAAAATAAAGTACGTTTTATAAGCAAGGCACCATCTGTGGGTGGCCTGCTACATGAAGAAATGTTTCCAGTTTGTTAGGAAGAGAGAAGCCAGGGTGAGGGTGGGGGTGAGTTTTGTTACCACATAGCTCAAGACAGACCAAATCCCAGAGTGGCTTAGTTTCAGCAAAAACAGTGTCTTCTTTTACATTAGATTCATGCTATGAACTCAAAATTGGGTTTTATTCGTGTTTGAATTTAATTTATAAAGACTTCAGCAGTTACATAAGAAATAGAAGCCTAAAGAATCTATAACTGCACATACCAAGTGACATCATTTAACAATTTAAAGTGAACGCTGGAGGTCCACAGAATTTTTTCCTATAAAAGTAGACAATAGTAACCTCTTGTGTCTTGCAAAATGCTTCCCTTGCCCCTCTGCTTCCAGGATCTCTCAGAGAAGTACATTAGGCTGAAGGTGACCCTTTCTCTAGGTGGAAGGGCTTCCGCGTTCTCTCCAAGGTAACTATCTGCCTTCCTAAGTCATTGCCCAGAGCTCTGAAAGTTCCCCGAAGGAGCTTCTCTGTTGTCAGTGTCCCTGCCAAGGATGTCGTTTCTGTATATACCCAGCGTGTATCCCACATGCTGAGGTTCTGTTGACTTCTTTCTAGCTGGGTCCCGGAGCCCCTCCTATCATCCTGGGTAATAAAACCACTCTTCCCATGTTCCAAGCCCTCCTAAGTCCGGATGCAGCCCCCTTCCAGGGATTCTCCTGTCAGCCTTCCTCTTATAAGGCATTCTCAGCAGTCTCCCTGCCTTCATCCTTTCCCCCAAACGCACCCAACCACTGAGCCACCCTCCTAGCTTCCCTGGAGGTAGCACACACTAAACTGAGAAAACATCTCCCATTCCCCAACACCTTTCCTGTTCACCCCCTATAAAGTTTAGAGGAACACAGCCTCAACTCAAATATTTGTTCAAGTGTATAATTGTCAAAGTGCTTAATTTCTCATGCTAAAACAATTGTCTTCGCTTAAAATGTACAAAGTTTCCAAGACAATTTACGTCTACTGGAACAAGGGAAGAATCTAAGAAAAGGGAAAACATGGAATCCAGGAAGCAAGATTCAACACAGGGCAGAGATGGAGGGAATTCCCAGGATAACCATGAAGGGAAATTCCAGGCCCACATCAATACGGCAGACGTGGAAAGCCATCAGTCCAAACCACAGTTGGACAATGGAGTAATCTGGAAGAGACATCTTCAGGAAAACTTCACACAACACCAAAAGCTATGATGGATTTCTTGACAAGTTTGAGTTCACAAAAAAAGTTTACCATGGTGCCACTGGAAGGTATGGGAAGATTTAGCAGTGGACACAAGGGAGGCTGAGCAACAGGGAAAAAAAGGTAGTAATACATTTTAAAAGGGGAAATCAAAAGTTGCACGTGAGAAAAAGAGTCACACATAGTACATTAGCAGCTTATCAGAGAACGGTAGTCTAAGTAATACTGGTGTAAATGCTAAAAACAGATTTAACCAAAAATTAGTGACTTGGTGGGAATGGAAAGTAATGGTGATTTTAAAGGTAAATGATTATATACCAATAGAAACTTAATCATTAGAGCTGGAGGTGTAGCTCAGAGATAAAGGACGCATCTACCAAACTTGAGACCCTGGCTTCAATCCCCAGCATCACACAAAGGAAAAACAAATCATTACTTTTTCAAGGGAGAGGTATAAAAGCATAGAAATATAGAAGTATATTCCAAAAGAAACAGGATGGAAATAGATGCTCCAAGGGGAAAATGCAGTGTTCCTAAGAGTGAGGCAAGATACCACTGTAAGTCTTTGCTATTGAACCTTGGGTTTGTTTGTTTTGTTTTATCTTTTTGAGACAGAGTTTCACTCTGCAGTTCAGGTGAACTCACTTTGTAGCCAGGGCTGGCCTCAAACTCTCAGTGATCCTCCTGCCTCAGCCTCCCAAGCGCTGGGATTACAAGTGCCCCACCAAGCCTGGTTTGCTATTTGACTTGTTAGATTATGGATTGTGTGCTTGTTTTAACTTAATAAAAATCATAATTAAGCATTAATTATGATTAAAATGGCTTTTTAAGGTTAAAATGACTCCTAGATTTCTGTAAGGAAGAAGGGGCAAGTATTTAATACTTCTGAAGGTTCAGTGTACACTATTTTCACCCCCAAAAGAAGGCAGAATATTAAAATCTCACTTCTAGATAAAAAGTGGTTTGTGGTTTTTAAGACAGAGTTGGATTAGATTTTCATTTTTATTTTGTTTTTTTCAACATCTACCAAAATGTCAGGGTATTTAGAACACTCTTAGGACATATAGTTACTCCAGGGAGCCGAGGTGTCTCTATTGGGCACAGAGAGAACCTGGTACACAGTAAACCCTTGACGTTGTTGGATACGTAAACATTTAAGAGGCATTTTAAACATTGTTCTGGTTTTCCAGCTCACCAATGAGCTTCTTGAACCACCTGACCACCATGAACCTGTCCTCTGAACCACCAGACAGGCATGGGAGTGACAGGAAGGGAATTCAGAATTCAGAAGCACAGGTGTTCTGAGGCAGAAGAGGGATTATCACACTAGTTGGAGCAGAAGAAAGGCATTTAGATCTCTCAAGAGCTCTATTTCTTACAGATGTTCAGATAACTACTCCCTAGACCCAAGGAAGAGTGGTTTTCTCAACCAATGAGTAAGGAAATTGCCTCTACCTCCACCTCCACCTCCATTTCACTGTGTGCACAAGGTGGGGTGTGGTGGGAGCTAATAGGAATAAAACCAGGGCCTTTGAGCTTAATTATAGCCCCAGCCCTGTGTGTTTTAGATTTTGAGACAGGGTCTCTAAATTGCCAAGGTGCCCAAGCTGGGCTCCAATGTGTGATCCTCCTACCTGAGTGTCCCAGAGTGGGAGGATTACAGGCATAAGCCTCTGCACCATGCTCCTTCCACAAGTTACTATGAGAACTACAAGTAAGAAATGAGAGGACCATGCCAAGTATTGTCCATTTGGCTGTTACTCATTAGGTCAGGCACAGTATTAGGGATTTGTTTGGTCAATTAACAGATTGTTAGGTGAAAGGCTGCTATGCACCAGGCAAATGCACTCTTGTTCAAAGCAGTTAACGGTGGGGAGAACGGGGACTCACTAGGGCACTTTCTACCATACTGCACATACTTCCTGTCCAACTTCCAAAGGCAGCCTTCCCAGACTCCCTGTACCTCTCGCCTCTTCCTGTGCCCTGCTTGTTGTCCCCTCTCACCCTCTTTCACCACCCCAGAGCTTCAGATGCCTGCACCTAGCAGCGGTGCCACAGGCACATACAAGCAAAAACTCATTCATTCTGCCTTCTGCATGTATGGATACCTTTGCCTGCTCTTCCTGACCCTGAATTCAGGCTCAGCTGGACCAGGAGCTGTGTGTGGAGCATGAAGCTTGGAAAAGCCTGATGCTTAGTGTTGAGATCAGTCCCATAGAGCAAGCCAGGGTCAAAGGCCAATTCCTCCTTTCACTCTTCAACCCATCTCTTTACAGTGCAGCCCTGTCCTTGGTGCTGTGGAATCAGCTCAGGTCAATGCTGCCCTGTCGCACAACCCAGCAGGGGAGATGCAATAGAGGAATAACCAACTGAGGAGCAGTCCAGCTCTACACCCGCAGAGTGGGACGTCTGATCTGCAGCTTGTTTTGAGAAGCGCCTCATAGTAGGCGCTTTACTCTTTTAGACTGAGCCCCCAGCCCGGACCCTGTGCCTCTGCTCCGGCATTGTGTGCAGACCAATCATTTACAGACTCTAATGACCTCCTGGGTCTCAAGTGGGGCCCCAAGTCCTGTATTTCCTACACGTTTCCAAGTGGCTTAGTTATGTTACCCATGCTTTCAGGATTCTAGGGCACTTATTTCTCTGAGCAGTAACAACTGGAAAATGCCACCCCCAAATGACCTAACTCCAAGAGGCGGGGATTTTGCCCATTCATTGGTAAATTCCCAGTTCCTAGCACAGTGCTTGCACACAACGCTGTTTTCTCCTCAGGAGCCAGGAACGATCCTGAACTAGCAGCAATGCCATCAGCTTTGAGATGTTTTTTTTGCAACATTTGACTACACCTACTATGTGCACGGCTATGCCTGAATCTTTTATTTTTTTTTTATGGAGAGCTCACTTTGAAGTTATGCTGGCCTCAGATTCATGGTGATCCTCCTGCTTCAGTTTCCCGAGTGCTGGGATTACAGGCATGTGCCACCATGGGGGTTCAACATCAGGTGGCATCCTGATACAAAGCTCACCAGCTGTCCTCCCCAGCCACTTCCCCAATTCACCACCAGCACACCAAGCCCTTTCTGTTAACTAAAACAGCTTTAATTAAAAAATATTAATACCTTGGTGAGTCCCATGCTTTCCAGGAGGCAGGACAGACAAGAGGTCCAGTGGCACACCCCACACCCCCCTTCAGTCAGGAGCTCCTGGTGTGCTTGTCTCTGAGATCTAGAACTGTCCTCAGTGCCTACAAAGGGCAGTCAGTGCGGCTATGAGGAAAGGCAGCACCCTCTCAATAAGAAGCTGAGGACAGACAGGTAAGTGGCGGTGGGGTGGGGACAAGCTGTGGAGAGATTAGGTGAGGACCCAGGAGTCCAATCTCATGTGCTGGCAGACATGAGAGGAGGTTGCCCAGAGTCAGTGAATAGGCAGACAGTTTGAGACTGGAAGGAAGCTTCCAAAGGAACTCTCCACTCTCCAGGGCACATTGGATTGGTGGGCTGTGCTGCTGGTGGTATTGGGGACTCATAGACAGCACTGTGGAGGTGGGGCACAGAGAGAGCTCACAGGTAGAGGAAGAAGACCCCAAAGATTGGCAAACTGGAAGGGACGCTTCAGTTCGATGGTGAAAAGCGGGGAGAGGGTATGAAGGCGTCAGCAAGTGTGCAAAGTTCAGGAGGCAAAGCTGAGGGCCCCCTAGAGCTGTGCCCAGCTGGTGAAGCCGTCCTCCTTCCGGTCCTGGGGGAGCGGGCAGCCCAAGTGCTCCTGCCCGCAAGAGGTCCTCACAGGTAGCGCTCCAGCCCCGGAGCGAAGCCCGGCTGCCTCAGGTAGGCCTCCCCGGGGCCGAGCGGTCCAAGCGCGCCGGCGGGCCCGGCTAAGGCCAGCAGAGGCTCCGCGGGCAGCGGGCCCGGGCCCGGGCCGGGGCCGGGGACAGGGCTGGGGCGCGCGGCGGGCAGCCCCAGACGGTCGGGGGGCTGCGGGTAGAGCGGCGGCGAGGCGGCAGCGGCGCAGGGCGGGAAGGCGTCGGGCACAGCGCAGCAGGCCGGCTCCGGCGCGCCCAGCGCCGCCAGCTCGGGCTGCAGGCTCAGCAGGCCGTCGACGCGGAAGAGGCGCGCGGGCGGCGCGGGGCCGGGCGCGGGGGGCGCGTAGGGGAAGGGCGGCGGGGGCCCGGGCGGCGCGGCCGCGTGCGCCGGCGGCTCGGCGCGCTTGAAGCGCTTGCGGCGCCGCAGGAAGCTGCCGTGGTCGAACATGTCGGCGGCCGCGGGGTCGAGCGTCCAGTAGTTGCCCTTGCCCGGGTTGCCCGGCTCGCGGGGCACCTTGACGAAGCAGTCGTTGAGCGTGAGGTTGTGGCGGATGCTGTTCTGCCACTTGCGCGGGCTGTCGCGGTAGAAGGCGAAGCGCTCGGTGATGAAGCGGTAGATGGCGGCCAGCGTGAGGCGCCGGCCGGGGGCGTGCGCCAGCGCCATGGCTATGAGCGCGATGTACGAGTAGGGCGGCTTTCCGCGCTGCAGGGGCCGCCGCCGCCGCCGCCCCGGGCCCGGCGCGGGGCTGGGGTCCGCCTCCCCGCCGCCCGCCGCCGCCGCCGCCGCCTCCTCCGGCCCCCGGCCCGGCTCGGCCGCGGCGAGCGGCGACGGCGGCGGCCCCGACGGCGCGGCCGAGGGCAGGGCGGGGAAGCCTGTGTAAGCGGCGGGCGGGTCCATGTCGCTGCGCCCGGCACTTGAGATGTGGCGGCCCCTGCCCGCTGCTGGGGAGAGCAGGGCCCTTGGACTCGCCTTTTATGGACAAGGCCCCACCACCCCCGGGGAGAGGGCTAGGACCTTCCCCGCTGGCCAGCGCCTCCAGCTTGCGCCCCAGCCCCTTCCCGCGCTCGCAGCCCCCTCTACTTCGCCCCTCCCTTCCTCCCTCCCTCGGTCTCGCGCCCCTTTGAGTCAATTTTTCTTAGACCCTGTCTCATCGCTTCCCTATCTCCATTGGACCAGTCCCGTCCCACTGTATTTGATCTGTCTCCTTCCGCCCCTCCCCCTACCCCTCTGGGTCAGTCCCAACTACAAATCCATCCATTCAGGGCACTTTGCTGGACCTCACCCCAGTTTGCTCCTCCTATCAGTTGGGTCTCCTCCATCCTCTTGCCATCCTTCCTTCTGCAGCTGAAACAGGAATCAGAGAAGATTTGCTTGCCCTCAGTGCCCTTTGTGGCTTGGCAGGAGCATGTCAGGCCCAATACTGGAATTAGGAAACTAGGGTTAAGGTCAGAGGGAAAGGCAGGGGCTGGTTTTATATTTGGAGACCCCAGGTCAGAATCAGTATCTCTTGTGCTATGTCCCCCACATTCCAGTCATGGCCTTCAGGCTTCTTGAGCCATCTTTGAGGAATCAGAATTATAAAAAATGGCTCAGTTACTTTAAATCAAGAATTTCCCCAAATCCAAAATTTGAAGTTGCTGTTAACACAGCTCTGCACAGTCCCTTAAGTTTCAAAGAACACTGACCAGCATGAGACAAGCTAAAGGCCTGAGAGAGCTGCTCTCTGATCCAGACACTACTCTGCTCATTGAGTTAGGGGGTTTTGGCAGTTTTTGTTAAATACCATCAACTACCACAGCCTAGAGGGAACTGAAAGGCGTAGGGAGCTTACATTGAAGCCTTTCCTACTCCTGCAGACAGGCCACATGTAGGGACCTGGACAGGGAGCAGGGCTGGGAGTACAGTGAGGCAAGTGAGGGACCTATCATGCTCAATTTAAGGATTCTGGGGGCTTCCAAGTGTAGGGTCAGCTCTTGAGATTATGGCCTAGTGAAATTTGGGGCCTTGATTGCCCCACCCCAGCCTAGCATTAATGAAGTGTGCCTTGCACCTCTATAGATGACCAAAGCTTATGTCAATTGGCCTGTGGCCTAGGATGTCAAAATCCCATCTCAAACCCAGAGCCCAAGGGCCTTCTCCTAGCACCAGTCACAGCTGGTAACGTCATAGCCACTATTATTAGGCATTATGTATTTGGTAAACATGTTAAATACATTATTTGCCTTAAGCTTGGGCATTGCTGTGAAGTGTTCCAATCCTCATTTTGTGAATAAGGAAACTAAGGTGCTGAGAATTTAAGCAGCTAACTTCATACAGCTAATAAGGACAGAACTAGAATGCAACCTGAGGTCAAAGCCACAGCTCCACCTCTCCTCTAACGCGGTCCTTTAAATGGAGTCTTTAGAATCTCATAGGTTACTTTGGAATTTCAGCAGCTCCCCATACTTCCCTTGCCAAAATTGACTGCTGAGCTCTCTCTTGACCTGGTCGGCATGTCCGGGTTCCCATTGAACACCATCACATGGACGGTCACTGAAAGGAAATGTTTCTCTCCCTTAACCCAATACTTTCCAACCACATCCTGGTCTCCTCGCAATATTTCAGGTCTCAAATGGATGCCCTCTTCTCCGCCTGCCTCAGCCTCTACATCGAGGTCCCTGTCAGGTCTTATCTGTGCCACAAATCCATCTTTCCTTCAGTTCTTCCAGCCCTACTTTGGCCTGCATCATTCACCAAGCACTTGAGGGTAGGCCCTTTGTGAATGCTCAAGGCAAGACAGAGACGATGAGTTTTACAACCTAGTGGAGAGATGCACCATGAGGAGCTATAAGAGAGTTGGTCACGGGGCCAGGGATATAGCTCAGTGATATAAGTGCCTACCTGGCAAGTGAAAGATTGTGGTCCAGTACGAGAGAGAGAGAGAGTGAGTTGGTCAGGAATGTGGAAGTACAGTATGGAGATTTAGAGACAGTGCCCTACCCACAACAACAGAATCAGCAGCCAGGTTTACACTAAACAGTCTCTGCCTCAGTCCCTCTCCAATGAGCGTTCTACTGCCACAGCTCAGTCTGTAAGGAACACAGGACAGTGCAGTCACTCCACACAGCTAACCCAGAGGAGGGCAAGACAAGCAGCCATAGCAACATAGACTTAAGTTCTAAGAGCAGAGCGACCTCCCATCTGAGCCCATCTCCTAACCTGCCAAGTGGGAGCAGTGACATCTTTTCTAAGCATTGTTATGAATCTTGTACAAAAATGCCTGGTCTGCTTGGACACTTGGTAAGACTGTCATTTTCCCTGACTATACAACAGGCGCAGAGACAGTGCTTATGGCACCTTGGCCACTCCCTTGCCTGCTTCCCTTGAGGGATACAGCCCTTCCAAAAAGGCAGTCCACCACAGCCTCTGTCTCACACCTCCAGAGAGTGAAGGGGTCAGGATGAGATTGGCTCTTGTTACCCCCTATCACCAAGTGCAGTTTTCTTGTACTTTTGATTTTTGTATGCAACCATGTATGCAAACTGGGACATAGTATATTCAATAGATGATACTGAATGCTCACTTGGCTATGCTGATCCTAAGGAGAATGGGCGGGGAGTTGGCCCAAAGGGTGAGAACCTAGACTTTTTCTAGTTCTTTGTGCCTGTCTGGCCCCCTCCATTGGGCCTGCTTCCCAGAGTAGAGCAGGCCAGTGTCAGGGGGCGGCCCAAGGGCTAATCCGCGTTTTCAGCGTGGCTGGGCTCTCTTTTCACAGGCCCTGGGCCGGACGTGATGCGGCTGAGCATCCGGGCATAAGATGGCCAGTGAAGGCATCCCCTTTCTCATGGGCCTGGATTCCAGGCGGCCCAACGTCTGAGTGGAGCCCCTGGGGCGGGAGAAACACACTGGCTGGGCTGGGCAGTCCTTTGTCTGACCACACTGGGTGGATATTCAGACTGGCAGGAGGGATTAATGGCCAGGGATTGGCCCTGGGGCCGGCCTTCCCACTGCCCTTTGGAGGCCAAAGGCTCGGGTCAGGGCACACAGCGTTGATGGCTCTCTAGATAGGAGTGGAAATTCCCAGCCTCGTCCAAAGCTGTGTGCACTAGACCCCCATCCAGACCCCCTTCCCCTCTAGGGGAAGAGATACCACTGGCCTAGACATACTGCAAGGCAAGCAGCTGTGGTGGTGCAAGAACTTACAAGTACTCAGTCTAGGAGAGAGGGTTGAAGTCATCTCAGGTCCCTCCCCAAGATTTTTCTGGGAGTGTCCCATAATTGTGCTTTCAGGGCTCTAGAGAGAAAGAGTCACAAGAGGCCAGCCTGAGCTGTCACCTGATTCCTTAAAGCTTCCTACAACAGTCCTCTAACACCTCTAGCTGCAGACCATCCTAGAGTTACATATTTCTGAAGCCCTCTATCACAGTGTTAAGGAACCCTAGCCCAGAGAGAGCAGAAGGGACTTAGGCCCCATAGGAAAGCCTAGACACCTCTACCACCACCAACACCATTTTGGACTACATAGTGGCCCAGAAGGTTTTTCTTCCTCCTCGCACCTCAAACTAGAGTGGCCCTTAGCTCATTCCTCGGGAGCCTGAAGCAGGCAGTTCCAACCAATCTGAGGAGTGACTTGGGACCCCACCGTAGCAATGCCCTTTAGGGCCAGGTTGTTCCTGCACTAGGAATGGGAGCGGCAACCCCAGGCTTGGCTGCAGGGTCCTGTTCCAGAGGAGTCTGAGCCAGGCACAGGGAAGGCAGTGAGTGTAGGCCTGACTGGTGAAAGAGCATTAGGAAGGGGTTCCCCTTCTTCATCCCTCTGGTCCTTCATTGTGCCAGTCCTAAGGATCTGTGTGGAGGCTGCCCCAGGGGCAGATGTGGACCCAAGGGATGGATTAGACCAGCCTCTGCCTTCTTCACTGTGACTAGGAGGAGGGAGCCACACAGATGCTTCTTGAATAAGATGGCCACTTAGGATGCAGACAGAGTAGGGATGGCAGCAGGAACATGAGAAACAGAGCTTGGCCAGCTTGGCTAAGTTGGTCCTTGCTCAAAATTCCCAGACCTTTGAAAGGTCCAAATGATTTCCCTTCCAAAACTAACCCAGTAAGAGTTCAAAGGGCCAACCTGAGCAGTCGCCAAGTTCCTTCGGCTTCCTGCATTGAACTCATTCTCTGTGTCCCCTGAACATCTCAGTCACTGCACTTACCTTGCTTTCATTGTCCTCCATGTGTTTGTCTACCCAACTCCACTTGGTGTGATGGAAGGCTCAGTTCATGAGATGGCATGAACTTCCCATCAGATGATGGGAAGACAGAAAACTGTGGGTGAGAGGTATGATAGCAAGAATACGGGGCCCATTCTGGGGAATGCAAGACTTCCGCTGTTTCCCTGAAAATGAAGTTCTGAGGGCACAGCCTACATGTTCCAGTGCCAGGTGGCTACTGACTGTCATCATTATTACAGTTCTAATTCCCTGTAGCTGGCAAAGGGCATCAAGGGACTCAGACAAAGGAGGCAAATTGGGTCAGATTATAGCTGATTTTATTTGCCAGGCTAATGGGCTGAACATAGGGATCTTTGAAATGTTTCCACTAGTTCATTGACCTGATCAGATCTTCCATTTAGATGCTTCAGTCCCCAGGAGATGGGCTAGACAGGAAGAAACTGGAGGCCAAGAGGCCAGATGGGAGGCTGACGGAGAGGAGGTGTGCTCCAAGGATCGGCCTTGAGGAGCAGCAGACACCTCATTCCCTTTCACTGCAGGCTGGATGGAAGAGAGCCTGGAGGTGTCCATCTCCCATGATAGGTTGGCCACCAGCTTGGTCCCATAGTTAGAAACTGGCCGTCATCTTCTGCTCCTTGCTTTCCCTCTCCAACCATCTTCAGTCATGGAGGCCCGACATGTCTGAGAACTTGCTCTAAAACTTTCTTCTCCTGTCTGTCAGTCTCGTCCTTATTTTGCCCAGTATCAGTACTTCCTGTTTTGACCCCAGTGACTACCTGGCTGTTCTCCCTGCCTCCCCTCTGATTCCCTGTCCCCTCAGCAGGAAGAGCCACTTCCACTAGCTGCCCACCTCTGTCAGGAGTCAGACTGACTCAGCAGTCTGCTGGCTGAGCCACAGGACTGACCTGTGCACACCAATGGTGGTGTTTCTCTCTATTCCCTG